TGAGACAATGTAATGTTGTGATAATGCGCTATATAAATAAAACTGAATTTAATTGAATTATTTCCTGTCCTTCCAGTTATTATTGTCTGTAAATGCTGGGAAGAAACGGCTGAAATATAATTTCCGTGTAATGGCTCAACATCCAGTAAAGTGAACTTGATGATGAGCCAATTCCCCCCCCCCCCCACCTCCATCCCACATCTCCACTTCTAAACTAAAACCCGCTTTGTTTAACCTTCAGTGTCTGACACTCATAAACACACGTACGAACCATGGGATTAAACACAAACGTCACACTGCTGGTACATGAGCAAGAGGCCCCACTTGTGAGACTGTGCGAAAGCAGATCATGAATCAGATGCTGAAATAAGATGCCTGTAGATCATCACAGTACAGGATGTAAACCATTCCTCAGATGAGAAATGGTCCCTGGTTGAAGGTCATCTTGGATGGCGGTCAATTTGAGTCATCTTGGATTACTGTCGTTAAAATGGAAGCCTGAAGATGATGGAAATCTAAATACTGTATGAGTGGTCAATCACTGAAGAGTTTTAGTTTAGAAGTGGAGATGTGGGATATTTTCCCTCCACCAGGTTCTCCTGCTTGTTCGCCTCAAGCCTATACCAGCCATTAAAGCTTCTCCTTTCAGTCATGCTTGTGCAGATGCTTGTCAGTCCAGAATGATGCCTGCCTTGTGGTCTGTGTTGCTTGTGACAGGCTTCTGGTTACCCTGTGTTAGATGAGGTTGAATGATAGACTGAGGGAAGTATCTACTTCCAACAAATAAAGTTATTAAATAACCAGATCAGAGCTGTACAGTGGCCGTGTGTAGCAACGTCACTCCACACCTCTGGAGACCAGCGCTCGTATCTCCACCCTGGCTATGCGTGTGTGGCGTTTGCATGTTCTCTGTGTTGTCGTGGGACATCAGTCCCCGCCCAGTCCAAAAACATACTAAGGTTTAATGGAGTTGCTAGATTGTGTCTGAGTAGTGTGTGCACCATGTGATGGATTGGTGTTGTGCTTGCGGCTGTAAAGGACCAGCGAGTATAGAAAATGAACATATGGAATATGCAGACAGAGCACTGAGTTCTTGCTGTGTGCTGATTGGTCATGCATGTGTCACTAATGCTAATGTGAAACAGCTGGATGAGTCTTTCACTCAAGGAAACAAACCAGTCAAAGCACAGGAAGAGCTGAACTATTTAGCTGAGCACAGGAGCCTTTCAATTTGAAAGTAGTTTGTAAAACCTGAAGTAGCTCAAAGTGTCCTCCCTGACATGGATTATAGTAAGTGTGAGCATGTCCCTCACAGTCTGAAACAAACCTTGAGGTGGATGATATGAACCTATAAATAAGCTTTGCTTGTTTCTTTAAGTGTAATAATTGTCCTTTTTCAGACGGGATGACCTATTTACATATGATCCCCCGCTAACCCTGAAGGTCCCCACAGCCGACACACATCTGCATAACACTGTGGGTTGAGGGAATCACTGGCAGTTTAGGGTCTGTGTGAGCAGGACACGCAAAGAAAATGAGAATATCCGCGAACTTAAGGTTCCGGTTTCGTGCCACCAACCGGCAAACTGCCCTGAATGCCGCAGTCTGTGTGTGTCAGCGTCATATCTGTCACGCTTCAGGAGTTATTCAGACAGATGTTCAGGATGTGACAATTTATACCACTGTGCTTATTCATGCCTATACTTGTTTCAGAAAGGGCTTCGTCTAAATAACAGACACGATGATGAGAAAGCTAAATGACTTTAAAACCAAAGATTTATATTCGTTGTGTTTTCCATTTATAATAAATTAAAAAAAAAAAAACACTGGCTCATTGCCATTTTATACTGAGATTTACCATCTAGATCAGGGGTGGGCAATCTTATCCACAAAGGGCCGGTGTGTATGCAGGTTTTTGGGGTAACCTTTAGGTCAGCTGTTCAAACCCAGGTGTGAGGACTCCTCAGCCAATCAGTCCTCTAATTAGTGACCTAATAAGAGTTGCAGCGAAAACCTGCATAACACTGGCCCTTTGCGGATAAGATTGCCCACCCCTGATCTAGAGGGCAGGGTTTGAGAACAACAGTTACTGTTTTTACCTACAGTTAGACATACAGGTAATGTTTACAAAAACATTTATTTTGGCTTATTCACTCATTGTATATTCCATTGTTGGTACTTTGGTTTCCTCCTGTTCTATGGAACGTTTAGGTAGATCAGTGTCTCTAAACTGTCTACAGCAGCATATCTCAACCCAGTGTTGGGTGCTGGAGGGAAGCAAAAATGTGGGCTGTCTGGGGTTTCAAGAAGACTGGGTTGGGCAACTATGGCCCATAGGATCCATCCACCTTATGAAGAACTGACATTCTGTCCAAGATGTACCATACCTCACGCCATGTTTCCTGAAGCAACAGCAGCCTCATCGTGAGTGGTAGGATGAGCAGAAGGATGGATGAACAATCTTGGTTTTAACAGTAAACGGTCGCAACACCCATTCTGGCTAACCATCAGTTCCTGAAACTTTGACACATTTACCATAAATCATTTTGATGTTTTATCAAGAACTAGTCATATCATTGTAACGCTCCTAATGGCTGATTACTTAAAATATTCTAATTATAGCACTTCTTGGCAAAGTATTGCTGAATGCATGTTATTGTTCCTGAGTGTTGTCATCAGTGTCTCCATACTTACCGAGGACAGAGATGAAAATGAAAGTGATTCTTTGTGTGTGGGGCTGACAACTTCAGGAAGTTCAAACCACTTCTGATGCCAGGTAATGTAGCATTTTCTAAGCATTCATATACACGGTGACCAAACTGCAACCAAGCCCAATGGGCATAACACCTTATTTCTTCCTGTAATCCTATTGGCTTTGTGCCATTGAGCTGACAAACTGCTCAGTGGTTCACATTCAATGGGATTACAGGAAGAAATAGTTATTGCTACCGTGTGAATCTCCCAGCAAATTTAATCATCATATAATTGTACAGGTACGTCCACTGTTTTTTGACTGCAAGAGTTAAAATGTAGCATTGAAAAACATTTACAAAATCCTTACAGGGGTAAAAGTTGGGTTCTTCTGTTGACTTTTTTTTAAGTATAGTATAATGTACAGTATATAAAAATAGACTTACCATAGTATACATATCATAAATGCTGCCAAGGAAAACTAAAGATATATCCTTTTTAATAACCCAAATAAAAGACCGTCAAATTCTTACTCAATAATAAAATTAAGCTTTTGTGAGTGCTTCAGTTTTGCAACTGCATACCAAATTTAATGATAGAATTCAGCAATTTATCAAGGCAAATACTTTAATTTGCAATCTGTACATTCAAACTAATTACAACAAACTTGTTTCTCTGATTTATACATACTTTCTATAACAGGTTCTACAACATAGTAAGTCATTCTATCGCCCTCTACAGGAGGTTCTACTTTGGTAGATACACAGAGAAAGTGCTGACTTGCTGTGTTGGGAGAATTGTAATGGACTTCAGGTCTGATATTCCTTTATGAAAATCAATTGTATTCAATCCTTTTTGTGCTGATAAACCTAAGGGCAAGAGGACTCTTCAGATGTGGATAATCTGTGTTTTTACAAAAACTCATGGTTCCAGGTATGTGGGAAATAAAAGAACAGGACAGACTTAAGATTCATTTTACATTTTATTACTCCAAATTAAAATTTCAAGTGCTCATCAGGTCTGCAGTTCCCCTCTCTTACAATTAACAAAATATATTATTTGTGTGATGATTCTTTGCATTTGATTGAAGCTTTGTACCAAAGAAAATAACAGAAAATCATTTCAATATCAAGTAATACAAATATTTCCCAAGAAGTTGGTTAGTTAACTAAATATATTAATAGTGATCTTATTATTCTATGCTGCAGTTCTACATAGACATCTGAATCCTGTAAACATTTCTAGAAATATACTTCATAATTTCAGTCGTCAGTCTTCCTAAAAAAAGGCTTGCAAAAAGCATGATTCAAAAGCACCCTTCAAGCAAGACCATTTGATAGTACTGGGTAAACGAAACAGATTTTGAAAACATGAGTCCTTGGGGACCCCCAGACAATCCACACTTTTGCTCCCTCCTGGCTCCCAGCCAATCAAGAACATGGGATACCTGGTACAGGTGTACTGGGAGGAAGCAAAATTTAGTTGAATTTTATTTTTGCATGCATGAATATACTTGAATACTTGTATCCGTCTTACTTGTCGCCGTTAATGCAGTCACCGTGGGGACTGAGAGTAATGTAATTTCAATCCTTATGTCCTGTACATATGGCAGAACTGACAATAAAGACTTTGACTTGAAATGTGGACTGTAGCTCCTCGGGGCTGCCTGAGGACTAGGTTGAGAAACACTAATATAACGGATTGATTCGTTCGAAGCATGAAGGAGTCACACACTGAGCATCAGTGTTCAAAGTGGAATAAGGCTTATATGTGACTCCCTGCATCAGGCATTCTAAAATACATCTGTACATTTTAAGACACTGCTCATTTTGTGTGTTATCATAGTGAGGAGCTATCACACACACTAATCATTTTAACGTGCAGAACCGGTATTGTATCAATGTGAACCGGATTCCCAATCCCTAAGCTGTGTCAATAGACAAAACATCTTTGAGAGGCACCAAGTAGATGGGCAAACAGCTCAGCAACAAAACTGGAACAGCACAACCATCTGTATCAGTCTATAACATAGGTTTTTGGATGACTATTAACTCTAAACAAGCAATACATATGCAGTGGAACGAAGATTATTGAGAACTTTAGGCAGATCGGTGTCTCTAAATCTTTAATCACCTTTAAGCAGAAATGGCGGGTTTCCCTGCGATTACCCAGGGTCCAACATGTTCTTTCTGCTTCTATGCGACTGGCATTTGGATCGTATATGGATGGAATCACAGACCTGCTTCCCAAAGACCTTTAACATTCTGGCTGGGTGCCAACAGCTCTAGTGCTCGCTGATCTTCACCTTCACCCGATGCCAAGCATTACTCAGAACGCCACGCAGGTTCCATATTGGTGCCATGGAGTCCGGCTGCACATTGTAGCTGCTATCCACTGCCTTGCATATAATCTCCAGTTCCTGGGTGCCGCTGGGCAGAGGGGCACTCAGCTCCCACAACTTCCATGCCCAGGCCCTGCCAGGTGGCGGCGACAGGTCCAAAGCCTCCCCCTCCCTGCCTTGCAGCTTAGCCACCTGCCAGGTTTTTCCACCGTCTAGGGACACGTCCACCCGGACTATCTCCCTTCCACCCCCGCTCCAAGCATAACCCTTCACAGTCACTTCCCCCAGGCTGTGGTCTAGGACTGCGCCCTCTGCTGGCCAGGTGATGGCAGACTGCACCGGCAGCTCCTGGATCGCCGGGGCTGACTTGAAGTCGACTGTGTCCCAGTCTGTACCGGGGGAGAAGCCCTTGTAGTCATTCTGCTGCCAGTGGCTGCTGCTTTCCACCTCGCTCAACACGATCTTGTCCAGCCACTTGACGTTGCGGGCCCCTACAATGCCTGGCACCACCACCCGTACGGGAAAGCCGTGATCGGCTGGGAGGTCCTCCCCATTCATCTCATAGGCCAGGATCACATCTCCCTCTTCACTCAATGCCTTCCCCAGAGGTATCGATGCCCCGTAGGAGGTTCCCGTGACATCCTTGTCCAACCCTTCGAAATGCACGTGCTGGGCCTTCCCTCCAGACTTGTAGCCGGCGTACAGCAGCACATCCCGAAGCCGAGGGCCAGCCCAAGTCGCGTTGCTGATGGCTGCTATCCCCCAGTTAAGCCCCTTGACCTGCTTGACCTGGTTCATTTCCGAGCGCCGGTTTCCCGCGCACTGCAGGGTGGCCGTCACAATGTACTTCGGGAAGCGCGACTTCAGATCCTCCAGCGAAAGCGACACGGTGCCGCCAGGAAGCCCCTGAATCTTCAGTTGGTAGGTGCTGGGGTCTACCTGTGGCACGGGCAGGTGGTTCCTCTTGAAGAAGAAGGCAGACGGTGTGATGAAGTTATCTGTCAGGATCTCGGTCGGAGGCTCAGCATTGAATGGCTTTTGGCTGTTGACTCTGAGCACTGGGTGCCTGGGGGGGTCCTTGGCATAGGGGTCCAAGGAGCTGCTGTCTAGCGTGCGGTCTTCCTCCCTCAGCTCTCCCACCTTGTACTGGGACAGCATCTCCAGCACGTGCTCCTGGTTGTGGACGGCGTACAACGCCCAGAAGGGCTCCAGTGCGCCTCCCGCCGCCAACAGGATCTTGTCACCCCCCGGGTGTAAGGACACAAATTCGGTGATGTCATACACCCCCCCCTTATAGGTCACCCACACCCCCTTGGCAGAGGAATGATGCTTGGCCACCTCCTCCTGTGTGTAGATGGGCAGAGGTGGACTTTTCCCAGGGGCCTGGACATCAGTAGCTGCCTGTTGGGCCTGGAAGGTCACATAACACTGAAGCCTTAACACTTTGTACATACACTCTACATGAAGGTGTTCTTATTCGTTTACTGAAAAAGGCCATTTAACTACTAAAAGAGTCTTCAGTCCCATCATCTTGATTTTAACACCTAACATGGCGGCATAATCTCATTCATTATTGACGTGCAGCAAAAGATGATAACAAATACAGAACTGAGCAAACAGAATGACAAAATGCACCAAGTACCTGACTTTCGAGCAGACTGTAGGCCAAAACAGCTCCACCCCCAGCCAAGATCCCGGCCAATAGGTGCCTCCAGCCAGAAGGGTGGCCATGGTCACGAGGACCAGAGTCATGCCCTCCGCCACTGCCCCACCGAGTGCACAGGGCACCCGCACACGCAGACAGGGGCACCAGCCGCTTAGGAGGAGGAAGCCTGCATAGCCAACAATAAACCGATGAACGGTAAACCATACATTTATAACGTTACTGGAGGAATGCATTCGCCGTATAGCGATATTGACATAATACAGAACGACAGACACACGCACTCAGTGGCTAGTTTATTAGGGGGCGCTACCTGTTAATGCAAACAGTCCACTCCTCCAACCAGCCAATCAAAAAGGTGAACCGAAAATGTACAGCACTCAGACAGGGTCAAGGCATTCACTTACTGTCTGACTAAACATTAGGCCGGCCAAGACGCCTGATCTCAGTGGTTTTACTGTGGCGTGATTGTCGTGCCAAACATGGAGGTCCCAGAATTTCAGAAACCGTCGCCATCCTGCAATTTTCACACACTACAGTATATAGAGTATACAGTGTATGGTGCAATAAAACTTCCAGACAGCATTTTTATGACCCAAGAACACCTTAAAGGGAGCGGCCAGAAAATGGTCAGCCTCAATCGTACAGTTACCACAATGGCGTACAAAATGGCTTCTCTGCAAACTCATCTACCCTTGAAGTGGTTGTGGATGCAAAAGTAGATCCCAAGTGGTATTAGCTAAAGGTACCTAATAAAGGAGCCAATGAGTGTAGCTATAACAGGTTGTTTACCTTTGTGGGCACATAAATGTTGTACCACAGTAGATTAATATATTGGGTTTAATCTACATTAAGGACATAATTTCAATATTTGCATGTGACATTTCAGGGGTCTCCTAGCAGGGCAAATAAGACTGTTGCAAGGCAATCAATAGCTTTGCATTTGTTTCAAAAATACTAAAATTCTCCAAGAATGAAAAGACCAAAACATTGGCAACTTTGCTTCATATCAGCTACATAATGTTCTTTATGTAGTTTTCCGCTCATTTCACAAGATTCTGACGAGCCCCAATTCATACTTGTGTATGGGTATGATTTTCCAAACCCATAAACCAACATTACACCATTTTTGAATTTGTTGTACACTGTGCCAAAAGGGGGCGTGTGCAACTTGCCCAGTCTTCAGTAACATGTCACTTGCACCTGCTTGTGTTTCACTGTTACGCACCAAAATGCAACAACCAGCTGCCAGTCATTAACATGTGGTCGGAATATTCCATTACCCAAATGGCAGAGGGGGGTGTTTTATTATTCATCCATTAAACTTATTTGTTGTCAACAGTGTGTTGACTTTGGCTGTCAGTGACACCCCCTTTTTTGCAGAGAGGATTCAGTTCATGGGGTGTAAACCTCGGTCTCACCTCCACGACATTTGCTGATACACCTCAGTTTAGATGCACCACATGGGCTGCAACCCATTCAAGACAAAAGCTGTTTTATGATGCAATATAATGGCTTGGTGATAAGCTTTACTTCACTTTTATAGCAAGTGCAGTGCCTCAGGGGAGAGTATGGATTCCAGACGCTGTTTCAAATGGACTAGTATAGTAGAAAGCTCTAGTATTACTCCAGCATTCAGTCAAGGGCAACATTCCATGACCCCTGCACTTTTGTCAAAATGAAACCATTCATTAAAAGCCTCAGCTTAATATATTGTTCTAGTTCTGCAGCAGATACAATGCCTGTACTTTTATTTTAATGGAGAGTAATAGCTAAGCAGCTCATCTTTTAAGATTTATAAGTCATGGAAAGTACAATGATCTAAAGAAATATACTATATTGAAGTCACGGAACAGTTTGGTGGTGTAAGTATCATACTGCTGGTTATTTAGAGAGTATCTATTGTTAAAGAAAGGGAGACAGTTAAAAAGCCTTTCACTTTGGCAGCCTTCATGACTGCCATGACAAATATGTGCAGCTGATCCAATGCAAAACTATAGGCAATGAACTTGATTATAAACTTACAAGCATAATTACATGAACATGGAGCAAAAGATTCAGGCTCTCTCTCGTTGTGCATTTGGTTTACCCTGAATCACAGGTTTAGTTTCAATTATTCTGCAATGACTGGTTTGGCAGTGAGTTTTAGAGAATCTGGGATAGAACAGCATGCATTGAAACCTTCAAAGTTTTATAAGTTAAATTTACGAACACACATTTTTACCTTAATCTCACCTGGAGAGTGAAATGTGATGGAGAACTGAAAGTGTTAGACATGGGTAAACATGGAGAACCGGCAAAAGCTACTCGTAGTTACACATTAATTACAGTGTAAAGGTTGCAGCAGGGAATGGTACCTGTGTGTCTGGAGCAGGCCAGTGTGTGCTAGAGCTCGACACGTCCTGAGGAACAGCATTGAGGCATCCGGCTAGGAAACGGAAGGAATCAGGATTGAATAACACCCACTCTGAAGGGATGAGCCCCCAAAATGAGACATTTAAACAATGTGCTTTGGAATGGTACTTTACAAAACAATTCCAACACACAGTAAAGCACAACTGAAAAAACCAATACGAACGAAAATGTAACATATTGTGTACAGTATAATGTATCTATATTTGAAACTGCAATAAGAACGGCAATATCTTTATGCTAGATGCAAGAGCATATTATGTAATAATGTCTAAGAATCTCAGTTTTCTTTAACCATGTTTAATGATCAACACTGGCAGGGTAATGAAAGTGACTTAGGTCTACTTAAGGTCCCCCTTTGGCACAAACACATAACTTCAGTGTTGTTCCTGTATTCATCATCTCTTCATCCGGTAGAAATAGTTCAGGTTTCAAAAGAAGCAAGTGACACGGTGCAGTGGCAGTTTCTCAACTGGGCAGCCAAAACTAAATTTTAACAGTTAAGAAAAATTGTGAGAGGAACTACACTGAAATATGAACAAAGTAAGCCATCCAAGTAGGGCCTGAAAAGAACTGTAAAACTAATAACATAGAACTTTTTGAGTCAGATTGGAACAATGCCTTTGTATCGACCCAGAACTGGGCCATAAAACAGGCAAGTGTGATTAATTGCTCATTCTTAAACAATTTACAATGCGAATAACTCTTTAACTGATAACAATTAAACCAGACTGATAAGAATAGATACAGTGGTTATACAATTCAGAATAGATACAATGGTTCCCATTCAGACTGATCACCAGCCTGAGAAAAGCAGCCAAATTTCACAAATTTCAGGGCTGAACTTGTGTGAATAATCAGGTTCCAGCATACACTGCTGAACACCATGTCAATGGTGCCAGATTTTATTTTTGTTCTGGAAATAGATACTCACAGGGTTGAAAAGCAAACTCGAAGGGACACAAAAAAAGCCACGAACTTTTAGGCTCGTTTTGTGTTCATGAAATTAATTATATGCACTGACATGTCTGCCATATTAACGACGAATATCAATTGGGCGTTACGCAATTATTTACAATATTGCCAACTTTGCCAAATTTGAGACAAGTCTGCACACACATTTACTTGTATGTACCTGTTTAATTACCTTGCAAATAGTATATAGGGCTTGGAAACTGCCCCAACCCTTTTGATGTAGCCAAGTTCTGATTTATAATGGATTAATATGGATTTGCCGTTAGATTTCCTGCGTGTGAATCTGAAAGCGTGAGTGTCATGATAGATGTGTGAAAGTTGGCAACCCTGTACTGTCGCTACATAGTTTCGGTTCCAGACTGGAGATACTATAATGCATGTAGGCTACATTTAAACTTCAAAAATCAAATCTTCACAAAAAAGGACCACATTGGACGTGAGTTTACACATAGCCACGGTCTTCGTTTTGACATCTTGAGAGATCAGAGATAATTGCCACCATTTAGGTACTGCGCAAGTTCATTTCAACTTGCCAAAGGAATAATATAATACTAATAGGCAGCAGTAATGCAAACCAACAGTATTCCAATAAGGCTGAAGTTACAAAAAAACTTAAGCTGTCTTTCGCAGTTCGATAAAACCGCAAATAAAATGATCCGAAATAATAATTTAAACGATTTTGTTGCTATTTTAGTGGGTAAGGTGTCAAGTATGTTTTTTTTCCAGAGAATTTGTTATCGACGATTTACACCTGACATAAGCAACAGCTATCGCCTTAAGGTCATAAGTTAGTCATGCATTTCATTTAGCCAAGATTCCATAAACATCTTCGTCTTTGTACTCAATCTTAAACTATCAATACAGCGCTAGTTAAACACCTTAAAACATGAAAAACTTGTACGATTAACTTTAGTCTCTGACAACAGCGAGCTAGGATATACAAATGTTCAGAATGAGTTTCACGTGTTAAAATTACGTGTAAAACTGTAACTTTCCATAAACATCACTTAATTACAAAAACAGTATATTACGTCGCTGATATGATTTACCCATTTGGCTGTTTGTGCAGCTTAAATTATATTATGTGATAATAGGGAACTCGAATGTAATCGACACGATTTTCCCGATCTTCCTTGCAACCCTTAATTTTTAATGCCCGTAAAATGCCCTAAAATATTTTTGTTAATATATAAATACAATCCGCCTTAAAAAGTGGGACATTCACTTACTCAGACTAAGTAGATGAATCAGCTGTTCCGGGCGGGCGGCCGTCGCGAGTGTGTTCCACAGCAGGCCGAGCGCTAGGCAGTTCGCAAGGGGCTCCAATTGTGACGTCACCGGCGAAGACCGGTTCCCATTTGTACTGCGTGGTAACGCCAGGCGGCGTTTCGGAATTTCCTGTTCCCCAGTTTTTAGTCTCCGCTTTCTTGTGTTGTTAAAACTGATTTAATTAATCCAACCGTTTTAATAATATTGTTTACTGCGGCTACCGTATAGCTGGACAAACGAGCATAGCTTCCCATTTGTCATCGTATCAACATTTATTAACATATATATATTAAAATGCAAACCAGGATAAAAATACAAATCCAATTGGATAACGTACTTGAAGTTTCTGAAGCATTCGTCGGTTCCATTTTCTAATCGCCTATTCTGAGCAGTTTCGGAGGGCGGAAATTGTTTTAGGGCTTAAAGTAGGTGACTGTATTACTTATAATAAAATAAATGATTGTGCTATTATAATTGCAGGGAGTGATATGTGAGTATTTAGATATACAAATAAAAGGCCGAACGTAATCTTAAGTATAATTAAAGTTAAATATGATTACAATCTTTTTTTCGTATTTTATAGTATCTTGGGAAGTAAATAAAATATAGGCTACTCATAGCATGCTTATTCAGCCCTATTTAGTCAGATTCGGTGGAGGCCATTTTTATATAAATTACTAATCCAGATTTATTCAGGTAGATCTCTACCAGTATTATACTAGGTCAATGTTATGCAGTTTTTGCCTACATTGCTTTGCAGAAAAAATGGAAAATGGATGGATGAGATTAATTGCTTAGGGGTTGGTTACCTGCAGCAGTTTCGTCTCCCAAAAGGTTCCTAGGTGGGTTCAAGGGCATTATAAGACATATTCACTTAATAATGTCTATTCTCCAGAAGACTCCACGACACTGTGGCTTGTCATGTGCACATATTCCGTTCATTTATTTGGTTGAATGCAACAGTAAGCACTAGGGCTGTAATGGTACACGTATTCTTTGAGTTCCATTCAGTTACATTTTTGGTTTGGTTTGCACAATGAAATGAACAAATACATTTATTAACACAAGTAGATGTTCAACATGGAAATTGTGGCTGTGAGTTAGTTACGGTTAGTCCTGGAGAGCTCAAAGACTCTCCCATGTCACGTAAATCAGTAGTTTTGGAATAAATGACACCATCACTGGGGAGCGAGTAGGTGATATAACCAAGACTGTTAGTTGGCTTTGGTATAGCTGCTGGAAACACGTCCAATGTGGTAACCCACTTGAGATGACATCGTGCGGGTGTGTGTACGACCTGAGTAAGGCAGAAACGGACTCTGCATGTTAGACTCTTATTGGCGATTAAGTTGCTTATGCCAGGAAATTCAGACTGGGATAAAAAAAATTGGAGGCTATAGGCTCACAGCAAAGCACACACACACAGGCAATTTGGTAACTCCAACTAGCCTCAGTATGTTTTTAGACTGTAGGGGGAAACCAGAGAACCCCATGACAACACAGGGGAGAACATGCAAATCCCACACGTGGAACCCTGGCGGAGACTCGAATGCTGGTCCTGGAGGCGTGAGGCAACAGGGCTGACCGCTGCCCCACCACGCCACCTCCTGGCACTTTGCATAAATTATTTTTTGGTACTGTATAGGTAGGCAAAATAATACTCATAGATCATATATGCAGGTTAACACATAGGGTAAGCAAGAAGCATCCCCCCACCAAATCCTAACATGACACTCTTATGACGGTAGAGGTTGGATTCAAACCCCAACCCTCAACACATGTGGTAACAGGGCTACCTGCTTTGCCACCAAAACAGCACACAGCTGTAATAAAACCATTATATATTTTAATATGTAATAAATTATAAAATATACTTTACCTTAAAATAGACCAGATTTTTGACAAGCTCAAATTTTATGACAATGCGTGTTCGTGTTTTTGTAATGTGCACATAAAAAGGACTATTTACATTTCTATAGCTATATGTGGTAATGTTGCAAGACATTCATCTTAATCATGCCTTGACAGTTCAGGAATATAAAACAAAAAAATCAGTAACCATGCTTGTTATTAGTATAATGGGTGGAGTGTATATATTAGCTCAATACAACACATCAAATTGTTCTCTTGTTTAAATAGGAGTGGTCCTTTCTGAGCTGATATAAAAACTTCTGTTAGCCTTAGTCTATTACATTTCAACATTATTTCATAATGGAAGCTGTTACTGTTACTTTCTGGAGAGACCTGCACTGTAATTTCCTTTCCATGGTATTCTCTTCAGAGAAAACTCAGTGTCAGCAGCTCTGGTTTAGATATTCACAAACTCTGGGCTAAAATCCATAAAGCTTTCACCATTCAGCTGACTGCATTGTATGCAATTACACCCTTTGTATATTTTGGCTACTATGTCTGAGGGTGTTGCTATGCACAAATTACTACGTCAATCGGGAATAATAATTGTATCAAGCATCAAACAGATACAGTATGTCGGCCAGGCTAATTACTTCTCATCTTGTTCCATCTACCTAAACCCTATTTTTGTGAAAAAATCAATTGTGGGGTAATCTGACTCTGATTTACTATAATTCGGGGGTAAATCACACATCTGTCAAAATGAAGGAGAGATCAAGTACCTTTTCTGAAAAAGAGAAAATGTGAGATCAGCCTAAACTGACAAACACTGTTATTGTACAATAACATACACGATATCTGGCAGTTCTTGCTGCTGAGGTGATCATATTTCTGGTCATTTAAATGTAAAAACAAATGACTCCTCTGATGGATTTACACTGATCGCACATTTAATTAATGCTTGATTTGCTTAGACAATCCTTTCGGTTCTAAATAAAAGTTAAGACTTAAAATGACATCAGATAAAGCTCAGTTTTTTTTTTTTTTTTTAAAGAAAACAAAGTCTGTGAACCTCTCTTAAAAACAGCAGGGGTCTAAGCAGACACCTATCACATTAGTCCAGATTTTTTTTCAGACACACATTTCATATAAGGTCAGTTTGCTCACTGTTGTTCTCCACCTCCAGTGTTAGTGTATGAATCTTGTTTCTGCTTTGTTTGTTTAGACTTTGCATGTTCTCCTGGTAGTGTACAGGTTTCCTCTGGGTACTCTGATTTCCACAATCCAAAGACACGCAGTTACGCTAACTAGTGCCTCTAAATTGCCCGTAGTGTTTGAGTGTGTATTACTTAATGCACTGTGCTGCCCCATGACCTTGACAAAGATAAGTGGCAGGATTGGAAGATGGACGGATGTTATTTCTCTTTACCGTATGATAGACTTACTTCCTGTCCAGGGAGTTCCCTCACTGTGCTTCCTGCGACAGAATCCAAGTTCACCTCAACCATGTACTGGATAAGATATAGTAGATGAAGCATGTTGTAAATTATAGCAACATAAAAAGGTATTATATTCTATACTGCTTTAATGTGATTTTTTTAAATGGACATTTTATTTATATGTTCAACAGTTTTCAAAAAACAAAATGCAAAATTTTGAATTCTGAGGTTCAGATCGACCTCTAGGTATTTTTTTTTTCCTAACTGGTTGGTTCTCAAATTCTATTGAGTTTGAGAACTGAGGTACCACTGTATACGGTTAAGAATATATATGGTTATATGATGTATTTGTGTACCTATCTGGTATTTGTTTGTGTGGGTGTATTGTTGAATTACAGTATTACAGTGGTGTTATTTGACATAATAAATCATCATTGATTTTATATAGAATCTGTCTATGGACATTGTGTTGAGCAAGCATTCGTTCTATGCTATATGGTAAGTAATTTTAGTGAAGATGATATCGAAGTGGAAAGATTACAGTGGGACAATTCCAGTTTATCTATTAATGGATACAACATAGTCTATAGTAGGGATGTTAACCGATGACCGTTTGACCGGTGGTTGACCGTATCAACGTTAACCGGTCAAAGTTGTCG